TATATATCGTCAAATATCGTCTGCCCGGTAAACCGTAGGCAGAGAGAGAGAAGAAGACAACAAACGAGGGGCTGTGACAAACTGTTTCGGCGGAGTTTCACCGACTCATCAGGAGGCTGAACCCTCAACAGTCTGCAGAATCCCCTCACTGATTACACTGTAAATGATAATCTACCTTAACCAAAATCAAAGTATATATGTATATATATACACACAGCTGTCCCCGATGAAGAGAAGACAGCTTTTCAAAACAGAAAACACAACAACAAAAAAGCATCAAATTGGGATCCTTCCCAGCAGTAAAATTTGTAGCAGTCCAAAACCTGAAATGATTGTCGGGAATTTGTCGCCGCTTTCTTTTGTATAACACTTAGGATCGGTGTCCCTCAGCATTGACCAAAACTCTGCAAACAACTGATCAAGGTTAGAAAAATGGGGTTGGACAAAGGCTAGTTCGTCCCCCACATGGATCACCAGTTCTGTTCATAGGCAAGCAGGGCCAACTCAGGGCATACTCTCACACTGGCACTCTCCTTATTTCTGGGCGGAATTGCATCCTGATGCGTACAAGTCCGGCAGTAAAATGCAGTGCATTTAAGATATAGCGGCAGTGTAAGTGCGCCCTTAGATGGTGATTACATTGTAGAGGGCTGAATGCCATCACCGTGAAAAATAAGGAAACGCTGCCCCACATGCAGTAAATGCGATAAGGAACATCTAGGTAGTGTGAAAAAAAAAAAAAAAAAAAAGGATACCGGTAGTGTGACTACGCTGTTAGATGGTGATTACACTGTAGAGGGCTGTGAATGCCATCACAGTGCAAAATATTGAAATGTTGCCCCATATCGATTATTGATGGGACAGGTCACAGGGGGGTAGGAAGTTAAAAATAGACCTCAAGTCAGGGTACATCAGACATGCCCTCGCACAGATCGGAGAACCAATCAACAACCATACATGTGTGTGTGTGTGTGTGTGTGTGTGTGTGTGTGTGTGTGTGTGTGTGTGTGTGGTCAAATTCGCTATACACTGAATAAAAAACATGACTGTGCCGAACAGACTGTTTCACCGGATTTTCACCGACTCATCAGGAGGTTGAACCTGGACAGACAGTCTGCCCAGGATGCATTTGACTGATGGACAAGGACTATCGACATCGCCCAGAGTTGGCGATACCCATCCCTGAGAGAGAAAAGTGGTTGAC